GTCCTACAACATTTTAATAATTTTAACCTTAATATGTTTTCTCAAATATCATGTTTTACTTCATTTTCCCCCATTTTGGTTCTTTACTTATTTTTTCCATTTAAGAAATGAGGGAGCATTAGAAGTTGGTATGGCATTATTAAACTGAAAAAATGTGTTATGGCAGTACAACCTAAGATCTTGGCTATACCTTAAAAACTCATCTCTATTTTTTGTTTTGTTTTTAAGTGCAAGCATCCCAATATCAACTTTCTCAATCTTAAAAATTTGAAAAAAAAAATACGCTCCAAGATTTCAAAACATTCAACTTCAAACTTAGAAACAAATTGTACCTGTAGTTTTCTTCATTATGCTGTAGAACACCCCACCCTGCTGAAACAAGTGAGGAAGTGCCTTAGCATATGACCAAACATCTTCGCCTGTAAGACAAAAACAAGGTTAATGCTAAAAACAAATAGTCATATTTAATGATACAGGGTAAAATTGTCAAGAGTCAGTGCTAATTTTTGCCATGGCTTTTGAGGGCTGAGTCCCAGCACCTCTAGGTTTAGCAGTTCATAGCCCCAGCACCTCTACACTTACTGCATCAGTTATGAATATAAAAAAATTGCTTAATCTCAGCACCTCTTTCATTATAAATTAAACAATGCCAGAAAGACTAAGTGATTCAGGAACATAAGACTTATTGAAGTTTACAGGACAGTCCCTCCAGACACAAGTACTCTTCACAGTTAAGAACACAAGCAGAAAGGAAACCTTGAGCCACGTGTCCCAGGCATCTCTTATTCAGATGGTACGACTGTGTGTCATTCAAAGGATTCCACCCTTAAACTCTTTTTACTGTAGAACACTGTACTGTCTAGCACGGACCATGCAAGTGTCTGGAATCCCAGACACCCTGGCTTCTGGTACCAGCCGTGCCAATGATTTATCAAGGGGACCCCACAAGTCAGTTAATATTTCTGCATGTTTCCCCATCTTCAAAATAATGAAAATGTCAACCACTTACATACTAAGGATGTTGACTATATGATTAACCGATAAGCCTAGGTTACACACATTTCCCCCCCTTTGCTCCCAATGAGCACCAGATACACCTGCCCCTGCCATTCCCACACTGCTGCCTCTGATAGAGAGGCAGAAATGCGCAAGGTATAGGGGGCAGGCTGGAGCCAATAAGCAGGGGAAGCCAATCTAGTCTTCCAAAATTCAATAATTCAAGAACTGATGGAGACTGTCAATGGGCCCAAAGTCTGTGGCTGGTTTAACAGTTTTAAAGACATGGACCCATCTTATAGATGGTTGCTCACCTCATTAAGTGCATGCCAAACCTTGGACAAATTTTAAAAATACAGGAAATATTCTTCCTTCATTTAGGCTGGGGTTTTTAAAGGAAAATAAGGGAGTTAGGAACCCAAATCCTACTGAAAGGGTTTAAATGTGTTTCCCAGAGATGCCTTTGAAAATCTCTAAGCATGAAGTTACAGACTAATGTTTTATTTAATGCACCACAATGAAGAAAAGCAAAATTCAATTCAAATAGATGCTCTTCATTTTATAAAAATTTAAACAACATTTAAATGTTCCCTTAATGACGTTACTAACACTAACATTATTAAAAGAGAAACATTTTTAATTTACTGTTCATGCTGGTGACATGCTGCATTTACTTTCTACATATTAATTATCTTGGTGAGTAAAACAGTTTCACTTTTGTTTCTCATTAGTTTTGCTTCCTGGATATTACATTTTATAGCATTCTTCCTGAGTTCACAACACTGCCAGGAAACAAAACTTCTGTTTCCGTTTAATTAAGATGTGTTCCTAACAATTCTGTTCATGTTAAATTTAACATTTTTATTTCTTTTTTTAAAGATTTAGATTGATTGCAATAAGTATGAATTTCTCTGAATCATAGCACATTTAGTGAATTTTACACTTTTGTTACCATACCTCCTGCAATTTAAAATGACTAATTTGTGCACTAGTTTCAGAAGGGTAGCCATGTTAGTCTGTAATAGAAAAAAAAAACTTTAAAAACAACAACAAATAGGCCTGCAGCACCTTAGAGAATAACAAAAATGTAGATGATATCATGAACTTTCATGAGCACAATTCACTGCTTCAGATGAACGGAGTTCAAAGGGTCCAGGTTCCAAATAAACAGCAGAGAAAGCAAGGGGATCGAGGAGTCTGCTATTTATCTGGAACCTGGACCCCTTAAACTCCATTCATCTGAAGAAGTGGACTGTGCCCAAAAGCTCATGATACCATCCACTTATTCTGGTACTTTCTAAGGTGCTGCAGGAATATCTGTGCACTGCTCATCATGTATTGTATTTAGGTTTGGCAGAATTTAATTTTTCTTTAAATAATTTTGACAAACATCTGTATCTCTTATATTACAGTTGAGTTGGGCTTGCAGGTGTCCAGTTAAAAGGCTGTTTATTGTGGTGTAGACATACAGGCTCAGAATGAAGCCCAGGCTCTAGGATCCGGTGAAGAGGTGGGACGCTGAGTCCAAACATCCACACTACAATTAGAGAGCTCCTTAGTCCTAGCCAGCCACGTCATCCTATACAGGCCAACCGCAAATGTTCAACTGCAGCGTAGACATCTTTTATAGATCTGGAACACTACTCTGCTGCTCAGAGCTTTCCCAAGAAGCAGCAAGCTGAAGTTCCATTGTTGCCCCCAAGTTTCTGAGTAACTAAGATACTAATAACTAATTAAATATAATTTTGACTATTGCACCTTTGGGATGCTATGAGCAACAGCAATGTAGGCACTGCAGCTATGTAAGGTATCAGAAAAAACTGCATCATTTTACACTCTGTTCATATATGGAAAGTTCTCTTCTTTCCACTGTGTCTTAAGAACTAGAAACTTTTTAAAACTAAAGCTTTTATATTACAGAATTAAATGGCATTCAACCAGGAAAAAATCCTGTTTGCCCTAAGCAAGTGGATTTTTGAAGCACTGCAGCAGAGGAGCCTCTTAATGTTACATAAAACAGCATATAAACTAACAAAGATGAAGAGTGTATACACCATAGTAGTGTCAGCTCTTGGAAGAAAACTATGAAAGGATTGTGATGTTTAAATTAAGAGATATCAGATTAGAGAACAGAAGAGGAAGAAAATACAATCACATCTGGACATAAACTTACTTCAGCAATAGTGTAATGCTCTTTGAAATTCAAGTACAGATTAGTAAGTTACCTTTGGGTGTCTACAAATTTATCTTATGTTGCTGGTCCAGATTCTTTTCAATGTATTTAATAAAACAACCTATTAATCTGGCAATTCATGCAATAGGATTTAGAAACTCCCTCAGGACTCCACAAACCAGAGATGATACTCTTATTAATACACTGGGAGTATGATGATTACACTGGGAGTATGATGATTACAGAGTGCTTCATAGATTCCTTAAGAGTAGACTTCAGTACTTTAACTTCAGATATGGCTGCAAGAATGCCAATGTGGTATTTACAAGAAGCATAAACACCTGCTTTCTTCCAATAATAGGAATGAGACAGTGTAATCTATATTTATTTAATATATATTTTAATTATATAACAACAGCATGGTCAGTTCAAGCACTGGGAGGAGAGGACACAACACAGAATCTGCTACCTGAGCTTTCAGTTTAGGCCAGTCTTCAAAAAGAAGTTACCCTGTTTTAACTAAAATCAACTTTAAAATCAGTTTAGTTCAACTGGTGCAATCCCCTTTCTTGACACACTTAGCAATTTAAACCTGATTGTATCAGCTTATCCAATACTAACTTACCAGCACAAGCCTTACTGATCAAAACAGGTTTAAGACTAGCTTGTAAGAGTCCACAAAGGTTTTTGCAGTGGTTTACCTAAGTTGATTTAAGACATCTATAGCTGGTGCAACTGTGTTTAGAATAGGTCTTCACGAACAGAAAATAGTTGCTGTGGGGGGAAGGAGCTTCTAAATTTTGAGCAAGGCAAAAACAAGGGAGAAAGACAAAGTTTTTTTAAGATCAGATATAAAGTGTAAAGCAGAAGTCCAAAAACTAAATATAAAATGTCCAGTTTAATGCAAAGTTAAATAAAAATCACACTTTAGAAGTTAGATGAACACAGCATACATGTTCTAGAGAGTTTATCAAGGTTTTTAATTAAACTATTGATACAGAAATAGTTGCACCAGAAAGACAACTTAAAGTCACTCAAGTCTGCTGAACTGGTGCTTCTTCTGTTAAAAAGCCTAGACAAGGTTTTCCCCAGTGTCAAAGAAAAGTTTTCTAGCACCCAGAATGACCAGTAACAGATTTTTAGAAACAGATTTTCCTTGTAAGCATGAAAATGTAAAACATTTTCAGGCATGTCCTTTCTCTACATCTTCTAATACAAGTATATTAAAGATGTTAAGAGGTGGGTAATCCATTAATCGTGTAGTCAATAAAAATTTTATCAACTAAACAATGAGTCAGTAAAGGAAAGCTTCCTCAATACTGGTTTGTGCTGGGTCCAGAACACAGTGGCTCAGCAGTTTAAATGTAGCAAGAGCCAGGCGCACAGAGCCACAGCGGAGATAGCTCCTGGACCCGGCACAAGCCAGGACTGAGCCAGGATTGTGACTACTGCCAGAGCAGTCTCTACCTGTGACCAGCCCAGACCACCGCAAACAAGGACTACTTCATGGCAGCAGCCTCTGCTAACAACAAGCCTGGGCCCACCGCAGGCAGGGACTGCTTCTCTGACAGAGGCAGCAGTGTGGGGGAGAGGAGAAGGCAACATGGCAGAGACAGTACTGGGGGGAGGGGGAAAACCAGTTTTTAAGCCAGCTCCCCCCAGTACCAGATCCTGCTTCCCCCACCTTGCTGCCTTTTATACAGAGGTGGGGGGGAGGGGGAAGAGAGGGGTAAAGAGTAGTCAAATAGTTGACTCGACTACCCAATAAGCCTAGACTTATCAGGTAGTCGACTACTTGCTTACACCCCTATGTCTATAGGATTTTATTGGTAAAAACAAATACTACACTAACCTCTGTATTAAGAGGCACAGAGTCTTCAGACTTTGTAGCTAGGTGGCAACTGAGAAACTATCATTTAGATAGCATGATAGCTGAAAGCATTGCATCTGAAAAGTTCATAATTCCCTGCATCACAAGAATATTACCTCCTTTTACTGTGAGAAATTATTTGTTTTCATACAATTGTTTGAAGTCTTAGCTTCCTGATCAATTAATGAATGGAACTATCTAGCTGTAATACAGTTGCAAGCAGCCAGTTGCCAGCACAAATTCTCTCCAGAAGTCATTAGAATGAGGTATGGTTTTGATCAGAAGAATGACTGTAAAAATAGCATTTTACTCAATGGCTCTGTTCTGTGTAATCTGTCATAGCTGTTTTCTTACAGAAAAAAGTGTGCAATATCATTTGTTCTATTAACCTAGAAAAGCAACTACAGCTGTAAGTGAGTTAGATTTTCTAGCTTCTGCATCAATAAAATTGTTAAATCAAGCTCCAAATGCAAAATCTTGACACTTATTGATGTGAGAGTCATAGATTAACTTGAGTCTCAAATACCAGGTTGATCTGCAGTGTTCATAATTTAACTGTATTCACATGTAAACAAAGCAAGTTTGATACAGAAGTCATTAGAACAAACATATAATCAGAGTGGTTTTTAGTGTGTTACCACTGCATTTTCAAGAGTATTTTCTATTATACATTCTGAGTGTGTATTTTAAGGCTCCATTTTAAAGGAAAGAACTTTTAAACTAGACTATTCCAAAATGGTCCCTTGAGGCTGTAGCACACAAATCCAGCTAACATGTTGGCTGGTAGCTCAAAATGCTATCAGATATGAGTCTGTCTACAACCAGATCTCCTAAGAAATCAAAATAAAGTGTGAGCCTGTGTCACCACCCTCTATGAAATTGTTTTGTTTTTAAAATACCACGTTTTACTTTGTTTTGGCTAAACTACTTCCCTCAAGAAAAGGAGAATGCCCATTCCTACAAAACACACTATTATTCTGTGTGCTTCTCCGACGAATGTACTTCCTGCAATAAATGAGTCAGGAATTGTTGCACTGAGCCCTGTAAAGCCATTTCAGCTTAGCACGCTGGTACATTAGTGAAACAGAAACAGAGCAGAAACAATGAGAAAGAGGAGACCGAACACAAGAGAAAAACAAAAATAAATAGGATAGAGGAAAAATAAAAGACAACAGTGCTAGAAAAAGTTTCTTTTCAACCATCAGAAGAGTAAGGCTAGACATCAGGAAGTGAAAGAAGCACTGAAAAAAGGCCTGAGTCATCTGAGCCAAAGTAGGAAAAATTAAAAGAAAATGACAAGAGAAAGGAAGCTAAAAAGTGTCACTTCTTCTGGTATTATGATGACCTTAATTTCACATTTTTAAACTGTTTTCAAGGGAAACTTCTCCAACTTACTGATTGAGCTGGAACTCAAATATATTCAGTTTCTTCCTTTGGTAACTACTGATGCACTGTATACTTTAAGCAAATTACAACACCCAATTACTGTTCCTCGCTGTCAGTCTACATATAAAGTTGCACCAACTCAGACAAAGATGCAATATTGCATTGACTTAAATGACCAGTGAAACCTTATGAGGGGCAAACTGTAAGGCTTTATCTCTGTACAAAATTAAGAGTTGGTTGCATCCAAACTTCCAATTAAACAAAAGGGGCTGTGTCTACACTGGGCCACTTATTCCGGAAAATCAGCCGCTTTTCCGGAATAAGCTGCGAGCTGTCTACACTGGCCCCTTGAATTTCCAGAAGAGCACTGACAATCTACTGTAAGAAATCAGCTGCTTTTCTGGAAAAACTATGCTGCTCCCGCTCGGGCAAAAGTCCTTTTTCCGGAAAACTGTTCCGGAAAAGGGCCAGTGTAGACAGCACAGTAGTCTTTTCCGCAAAAAAGCACGTCTACATTGGCCACGGACACTTTTCCAGAAAAAGGGCTTTTCCGGAAAAGCATCCTGCCAATGTAGATGCTCTTTTTCCGGAAATACTTATAACGGAAAACTGTTCCGTTTTAAGCATTTCTGGAAAATCATGCCAGTGTAGACATAGCCCAGCAGTCTATGTAATTTCTTCTTGTCCCCTTTGCCTGCATCCATCTCTGCATGGTTTGAGGTCTGGGTGGAAGATGTTTTTATACATAGGTAGACTAATCTAAGGCATTGGGGAAAGAAAACCAAAATAAGCTCAGAGAGCTCCACAAAGACACAGAGTATAAGGTATTTTCTGTATTGTGTTAAAAAAAATGTATGAGCTATAGATACCACACAACACAAATTAAGTACAAATTAAATTTTGTCTTACCCATTAGTGTTGCAAGAAGACACAAAGAGTACATTTCTTTATCAACCTGCTCTTGCAATTCCTTGGAAGCTATTTTACTGGTTACTGCAGCATCTTCATGTTTCACAGCATGGGTTGAGGGTGCTGAAGCAGGCTGACTGCCGCCTTCAACCTTACCTTTGAAGATCTCTATAGTTATTTTATCACCATGCTGCAAGGGAACTGGCTCATTTTCCAGGCCTTCCTTGGGTGGCAGAAGCTCTTTGGGAGGAAAGCCATAGCGAATACATTGCAAGTATGGAGGAATATTAAATTCCCTGGCTATACTTTCCTGCAACTCCACAAATGTTGTTGTGGACTTCAATGTAAGCATAGACTGTCGCCCATCATTTGTTGTTATTCGGATCTTCTTTTCTTTTGTAGAAGTTGGAGAATACGGGGTCTTTGTAGGCGTAGCAGGAGCAGATGACGGTCCGTCACGAATAGCACCAGGGGAAGTAGTCCTAGGTTGCCCTTTTTGTTCTTGTTTTAATTTCTCAGTTTTCCGTTTCTGCATTACAGAAGCCTGGTCCGCAATATTCTGTTGAATAGTTCTTTCAGTTTTACTCATATTCAACTCTTCCTTGTGCAACGTTTTCATTTTCTGTCCAGTAAGAATAATTTTGGTTGGAAGTTGTGACTCCACATCTTGTCCTTGCTGTACATCATCAGCTCTCTGTACATGAGCACCATCAATATTTACAGGGGTATAATCATCAGGGTTCTTTTTGGCAGTTTGATGTAATATTGTATTGACAACTTTTTGAACAAGAATCTCACTACCAAATTCACCAGGAAAATGTTTGGTAACAAGTTTCATTGCAACATCATACACATTACTGTTAAGAGTAGTATCACTTTCATACTGGAACCAATATACAGTCTCTCTCACCACTCTTCCACCCCATTCTAAAGTAATAGGAAAGGCTTCAGGGAGATTGTCATATTCTTTACCATCCCAATAGTGCTTGAATCCACAGCCACATTTACCACCCGTGGATCTAGTATTAGTTCTGTCCCCATCCAGATACACAACAGACCCATCTCCTCTGACACGACGAACCAAAGTACCATGACACCAGTTACAAGCAGTCAAGCTACTCAGATTGTAGTCAGGCACCAGGACATCCTTCACAGAATTGTAAGAGCACACCAAACTATTGAGAGGGAAGCTGTAATTTTTGTCAGGCCTCAGCTGGCCATGAGTACTTTTGGCCAGGTTATACAGTTTCCCTCCTGGAGCCAGCCATTCCAGAGGAACATGAAGCTCTGAAAGGGCACCACAGATTAGACACTTGTGAAGGCGGTTGTCTATCACTGCTTTTTTGGCAGCTGCAGTAACATCTTCAGGTTGAACTCCTATTACACCAGTTCTTCTGTAGAAATACTGATGTACATCAGCAACTAAACTAGGATGAATACCATGCTTATTCATGAACACTTCCTCCATTGCAGCAACCAGTCTCAGTAAGTATTTGTCTTGCAAACTTCTATCTCCTCCAATCACACAACCATCCTCCTCCAGTTTGATATACTTTCTGATGAGATCCTGAGGAACTCCCCAAGCTTTAGGAAGCAATTTCAAAGGCAGTTTAGGTAAAGCAGCACCTTTTATTCCAACCAGAGGAATATAATGGTTACGTCCAGAGCTACTCCATGCAATACAAATAGGTTTATTCAACATGCCATCTTTTCCCATACATTTCTCTACAGGTATAAGCCCAGGGAGGAAGGTAGCTGAGTAATCTCCTGAGCTACGCATTCCACTCAAGGAATCCAGCAGGATGATGGGCCGATGAAGCACATTGGCCAAGCCAAAGATGTGAATGTTTCGCAGACCCAATGGCACGCCTTCCGGAGGTATAAACAAAGGGTCACATTCATTGATTATGTCCTCCCATTCTACCGCATCAATGAAATCGTGGAAGAGAGCCTTGTAGCGGCTCAGGTTCTCCTTGAAGTGTTTCTTCAGGTTCTCCCGGAGCGCGTGCCAGAACAGCTCCCTGCCCACCAGTGCCCGGGAGACAGCATGGACCAGGCAGTGACCATCACCATCCACATGAACAGGGATCAGGCACTCCTGGCTGTTATTGGCTTTCTTGATATCCTCCAGGGTGTCATGCAAGTAGAGGAGGCTGCCAGAACGGTCCTTGCCATATCCCATTGTGTCGACATGCTCAGGCTCGATGAGGAAGGCACGGTCGCCCAGGAGAGCACAGTCAAAGACATCCCCCTGGTTCATCTCGGAGAGAAGCTTGGCCTTGCCCGTTTGCTTGTCCATGCCATAACGGGCCAGGATGGGGGAGAGCAGCTTGCAGTGATAATTGGACAGGCCCATAACTTTGACCAGCTCCGTGTTCTTCCTAGGGGGGGCCCCGCCGCTCACCCCCAGCAGCGCGTTCCGCAGCAGGTTGTGCAGCACCAGGTCCGGGTCCGTCACCTCCTCCACGCCCAGCAGCTGCCGCTGCTCGTGGCGCTGCCCGCAGTCCGTGCACTCGATGCTGCCGCTGCTCAGCGGCCCATGGGCGGGGAAGAAGAGGCGCGCCTGGCAGCTGGGGTCCGGGCAGGTTCCCGAGAAGATGCGCCGGTCCCGCTTCTTGGCGACAGGCTGCTGCTGCGGAGGCGGCGGCGGTTGGGACATCTCTCCGCAGTGGCCAGTCTCCCCGCTAGCTTCGCCCCCCTCACAGGCTCATCCCCTCGCCCCGGGTAACGGCCGGAGCCCGACGGATTCCACCCTTGTTCCCAACCGCGGCGCACGAACCCCCCGCGGAACGCGGAAGCGACCGGCACCACCGCTTACTGCTTCTTCTCTGCCCCGGCCGTTGCCCGCAATGCAACGGCCTTCCACAGGGACGGCGCAGGCGCGACGCTGCTCAGCCAGCCGGGAATTGTAGTCTTCTCAAGGCGCCGAGCCTGCCTGGTGGGAATTAGAGATTGCGTTGTTCCGGAACTACAAGTACCATCGTGCCATGCATTGCGAAAGGGACGAGAGAGAAAGGAGGTAGGGGAGATTAGCCCCCAATGATTTCTGGGAGATGCAGTTTTTTGTATTGGTCACAGGGCCGGCTAGGGAGGAAGCAAGCGGAAGAAGACGCAATTCCTAGAATGCTTTGCGGCCCCCTGTTTGCTTCCTGTTTTCTCTTGGGTGGGGGAAGGGCAGCTGCTGCATTTAAGGTGGCGCACGCCCAGTATGACTCAGAGCCTGGTTTCCAGCCAGGGCGGGGGATGGTCCTCCAGTGAGCAGCTCCTTATCGCCGACAGCCAGGAACGCCTGGCGGCTCTGACTGTGCCCCCAGCCAGCTGGGCCATGGGAAGAAGCGAGGGCTGCTGCTCTAAAGCCTGGTGCAATAGTCTGTAGATGTGCAACAGGGGAGACGACGCTAAACGGGAGCTGACACTTGGAAGAAACTGGTCTGACTCCCCAGTTCTCGTCCTTCTGCGTGTCCCCCCCTCCATACGCCACTAGGCATCCTGGAGACGTGGTGAGGGACAAGGCAAGGCGGGAAACAGGGTGGCTACAGCAGTGCTTCTCACCCCCCGGACTTCTCTCGAGTACCTTGAGGATACTCAGACCACTGGTTATATCAACACAACACATTTAGATAAAACTGGAGTTTTGTTTTTAAGTTTTACAGAGTTTTATTATTTTTGTACTTTTTACACCCAAAAAATGCCATTGTCTGCCGAGCTACAATTAAGTTGTTTAAACAAATGTGTTGTAATGGGGGGGAAAAATGGTGTGTATGAAAACTGTAGGTACTGGGAGTACTTATAATTTACTTATTTTTTGAAAGGGGGGGTTCTTTATTAAAAAAAAAGTTGAGAAACACTAGGCTAGAAGGACAAGGCGCTAGACAGAAATGGACAAGAATGTGCCTGTGTCTCAAAATTTGTATAGGGCATTGGTTCCCAAACTGTTAAGCATCATGCCTCCTTTTTGATTTTTGAGACTTCCTCGTTGCCCCCACCCCATAGCAGCAAAACTTGTTGAGCAAAACAAAACAAAAAAAAAAGGAACTGACTGGGGCTGAAAAACAAAAATAGCAGCAAAACTTAGGGGGGGTTAAGGGAGTGGTCTGAGTCACTGAAATTTCTTCACGCCCCCCAGTTTGGGAACCCATGGTATACAGCATCTCACAATCTAGGTATGGTGAGGCAGATGGCAGCTGAACTGGTTTAGCAGGAGATGAGAATCACTGCAGCTTAGACCTAGGGTAGAGTTTTCTGGGTGCTAGGAAAAGCTACAATCAATATTTTAAAAGGCTAAATGCAGCTTAACAGGCGGGATTTAGAGTGTGGGGAGGTGACTGTACTCTTCCAAATTCTGCCTTCTGCCCCACCAAGAGTAGTTCTGCCACCAAAATGAGACACTACTCACAGTAGATTGTGCTGATAGTAAAAATACAATCATGCATGCTTTGTTTAGGCATATTCAGACCCAACCCAGTGTCATGGTAGACTCCATGGCTGTGTCTACACTGGCAAGTTATTCCGGAAAATCAACCGCTTTTCCGGAAAAACCTGCCAGCTGTCTACACTGGCCGCTTGAATTTCCGGAAAAGCACTGATGATCTAATGTAAAATCATCAGTGCTTTTCCGGAAAAAACTATGCTGCTCCCGTTCCAGCAAAAGTCTTTTTCCGGAAAACTGTTCTGGAAAAGGGCCAGTGTAAACAGCACAGTAGTGTTTTCCTCAAAAAAAGCCCTGATCGCGAAAATGACGATCAGGGCTTTTTTGCGGAAAAGCGCGTCTAGATTGGCCACGGACGCTTTTCCGGAAAAAGTGCTTTTCCGGAAAAGCATCCTGCCAATCTAGACGCGCTTTTCCGAAAATGCTTTTAAGGGAAAACTTTTCCGTTAAAAGCATTTCCGGAAAATCATGCCAGTGTAGACGTAGCCCTTGAGCTTGGCTCCTTCTTGATTGGATTATGGGAGATGAACAAATAAAAGATGGTATCTCCATTTGCCACTTATTTGTGACACCAAAATAGGATACCCCAGTAAGCTGTGCATGTCTGTGACTGCATTCCTGTTTTCTAAGAAGTGAAATAGTTAAAGAGGGTTCACATTTAAAAATTAACATCACTATACACCTGAAATAACATGGCTTAGATAAAAGAGACAGTTCACACCTCTCTGAGCTATTGTACTGGCTCTGCAGATTCATGGGGATATCTCTAGAGCAGGGATCTCCAACCTTTTTAATCACAAGATCTCTTCTTGAATGTAAGTCAATCTAGAATTTATCTCAAGCCCAAATACTGTAGCCCTGCCTTGCCCTTTTTCTAAAGCCCCACCCTGCTCACTCTGGAGATGGTGGGTGGGAGCAGGAGCAAGGGGACACCCTGACATCAGTGCCTCCCCCACACTGCACAACAAGCAGGAGGCACTGGGGGCAATTCAAAGACAGAGAGCAGGAGCAGCATGGCTCTTTATATCAGTCAAAATCACTTGTCAGAGGCTCCAGGATCTACCACTAGATTCTGACTTCCTGGTTGGTGAGCACTGTTCTAGAGTTACAATTGTTTCACATTTTTAAGTTTTCTTCACAAACAGCTAAATAACTATTTTTTTCAAAATTTGAAAGCTGAGATTTTGGTGAACAAGATGACAGTTCCAGTGAGGTGCTAGTACATGGCACTGCTAACTGTTATTTAACCAGAGGTAACATTTACTGCCCTGGGGGAAAACTAGTTAGTTCTAATTTAGGTCTTTTTCTATTTTAAGAATTTCATTTCACATACCACATTATACTTAGTTTTAATTACATAGTCAAATTATGGTTACATAAGGCAATACATTCAAAGATTAATTTAGCCTTATACAAATAAAACTGCATTGGGTGTAATACACATATATATAATTTTAATACTGAACATTGGAATGCCTATATGTTTTAGTTGGGTATTTTCTCAAGGAAGTTATATAGGTTAGGACTCATATTTCAGTTTTCATTATTAAATGTTTTCACTTCTGTTTATATATTAAAATGACACTAATGCAGCATTGTAGGCTTCAAGCATTAATCAATCAAAAGCATGCAGAATTTCAGACTACTGTTCCAGGTCCATTTGGCAATGCAGCAATCGGTAGCAGGAAGGAGCTTTGATGTGATGCAATGGTTTCCAACCTGTGGGCTGTGAGGGCCTAGCAGGGGGTCCATGGAAAGTTTTTAAAAGTAAAGATCAGGCCCATTGCGAAGCACAGGAGAGGGGGCAGCAGCTTTTGGGAAGCGGCTTCCTTTTGATCCTGTTCTCCAGAAGCTAAGAAAGCATGAGGAAAGTGCTTGCATGACAGGCATGCTTCCCACACCTGGCTGATGTGTGAGAGGCATGCTTTGGATGTAAGCACTTTCCCCTCTCTCCATTAGCATCCAGGGAACAGGATCAAAAGCAAGCCAGGACCCACAGCGCATGGCTGCTGCTCCCTTGCACCTGACCACTATTATCCCTCTTCCCAGACTCCTCTGTAGAAGTAGCTGGTGTCAGTCCCTCCCTGTTCCACTTAATTTATTTCCTTCTAACTCACCCAGTTTGGAATTATGACATATATTGTAACCCCGTGCAGTTCCTTTGGGATCACTGTAATCAACTTATGAATGTTTTCTGTATCATGGTGTCCTACTCCATGGAGGAAGGTTATCACAGTTCCACCAAGAACTAAATCAATTCCAGAAAAGCAGAACAGGTCTTCCTGTATCATTGGGGCCCAATTCTGTAGCCCTATGTTAATGGGCCTCATTCTGCAGCCCTGATTCATATGGACATCTATTTACTAGGAACTGGACTGAAAAAATCATTCATTTTTCATACGGCATAATGAACTGGATCTGAATCCATGACTCAAAAGTTGTATAGCCCTTTACCAATGGTCTAAGCCAGTTATTCTTAACTTTTCATTTCCATAATCTCATGTTGTAACAGAAAAAAATACCAGCATCCCCCTCCACATAGCCATGAATAGGAGGATGGTTCTGATGCCCAGGTTGAGAATTCGTGGTTTAATTAATTCAATCCTCCCTTCTATGTTCTTTTCAGTTAGTATGCTGCAGTGACCTGATACAGTACCCATTAAAATTAAATTAAAGGGCTCCCATTTGACTTCACTGGTTGTTTTATGAGGCCCCTCGGCCTTAATCCTGCAACAAAATGAACCCACATGGTACCCTGGAGTTTCGTGTGGGCCAAAGGTCTGCTTGTGTCTTACTGCCAAATTGGGGCCATAATGTTCATTGCTGCACATTAACTGAAAATAAAAACACATTACAATGGCTTAGGTGAATGGCAAAACCCTATGCACCTTGCTACTGATATAAATCTAATCCAAGGTCAGTCTTTGATGCCCTGTGAAAGGTGAGATGATGATTGATTACCCATTCACATCACTAGTTGGGACTCAAGATTATGTGGACGACTCCTTGTCAGCAATGCTAAGGTAAACTGCCTGGTATCTGCCTGACCTGAGGCACCATGCTGCACCCTGGAAGCAGCCAGTACGTCCAGATCCTAAGGGGTGGGCATGAGGCTTTGTGGCATGCTGCACACATTGTTTTCACATGCAAGCACCTCCACCCCCAGTTCCCATTTGCCAGGAACCAACCAACAGGAATTGATGCTCAGGACTAGAGATGCTAAATTTAGATTAACTGGCTAATTGAACAGTCGATGCAAATTCAGGGCTGTTGCTACACTTCAAAGGGAAAGCGCTTCAGGGAGCACAGGGCCAGTGGGGAACTCAAGCAGTCCCCTGCTAGCCCTGTGCTCAACGTGGCAATTCAAAGCAGCAGTGCCACATGGAGCCCAGGATAAACTGGGGACTCAGAATGCCCA